GCAGGCGTCCGGGGCCTAAAGAAAGTTGGCGAGGGCAGGAGCAGAGGGAGGAGGGCTTGACCGGTGGGCCAAGGGCTACGGAAAGGCCGGCTTGCTTTGGCCCCTTTCCGCCTGTTACGTCGCCCAAGCCGCGCCATAGCCCTCGCTGCTTTTGCATTCGTCCAGTTTCTAGTTTCAGCCTCTTCTCCTCCCGCGATTGTGTTTTCTGCGCCAAAAAGACGAAGCTGTATGTATTCTCTCCTATCATCTTTGCGGACACTACTAATAATACTTTCTAATGGCCCTACGGATGCCTGTTCATCAGGTTTGATGCTGCGGGCCTCAGCTGTAAACCTCCCTCTTGTGAAGTTTGCAAATACTGTAATCTTTGTTCTTAAGTTCAATGCGGTCTCCCTAACTCTCCTGCTAGGACATCTGCTGATTGGGAATTTTTGCTTTTATATATATATATTTTGGGGGGGGGGGTTTAAATGTGTAGGCATGGAACTTTTTTAGAGGGATGAAGAAAGCGTCTGGGAATCGTTCTATGACCTAATATACATTTCATTAACAGGCATTTGGATTAAAATACAGTATGCTTTTGTGATGTCACATACTGGAATACATTACAAAATTAACCTTGTATGAACAGCCTTTAGATTCTTAAAGAAATACTTTGCTCTACAAGAGTAAGATTTCTTTCAATTAATACATTGTAGGAGATAGAATTTCTGGCATTTCAGAATACACTATAGTAGGCAGTATTTCTGGCAAGGGTCAAGCAGATGTAACAACCAGTTTAATGTTCAAAGGCTCGAAACTGTTAGGTGGGGGCAGTAACTGAGGCCCTTTTTGGTAGAAAAGATAATGTTATATTTTGTTGCATTGTATACAATCAACATAGAGGCATATTACAAATGTATAATGCTAAAGTATTCTGTATGTGTATGTACATGAAATTTAAGCCTGGATGAATCAATACTTTGACATTTCCTCCCACAAATGAATTGCCAGGGTATGCCTAAGCTCCGTTACATCTTATTTGATGGGCCTTAAATCTGGCCAACACTAATTTCATAAGGTTTGTAGAGAGAACAGTTGCTTGCCACAGACATGAGGAAGAAATTCCGCACAATTTCTTCCTCACAAAGAACTTCTGAGGAAGGGATGGAGCCCAATGTAATAGGAGAGAACTAATGAACAACTGCCTGCACCTTTTGGTGTAGCAGCCAGAAGGAATTGTAAATTGTCATCAAGGAAAGCATCATATATTTTCACTATGAGTCCTTCATCTAGAAGTCATGAAAGGTTCTCTCAAAAGAAAACTTTAAAGCAGTGTATCTCCAGGATTATCTTTGCTTATTTTCTATATTTTTATCTCTTAAATTTGTAGAGAACAGATAAGCAAATTTTCTGTACTAGCAAAAAAGTAAAGGTTCTTACAAGCTTAACTCCCAAATACTATATGGATGGCTATGCAGCACATTTAAAAATTCTGATTTATTTATTTTTTCACTTGGTAAGTAGACCTGGATTCAGATTTTCACTGTGCTATGTAACTAATGGAGTAACTTTAAGGCTCTGCTATCTGTCAATTTAGCCAGCCTTATAGGCTTGTAGTGAGGGTAAAGCAGGAATGAAGAGGATGACCATAAATGCTACTCTGAACTCCTTGGAGGAATAAATCTATCATGTAATAAAGTGTTATCCATATTCTGGTTTTGCCTTCATTTCAAGATATATAGGTCAGTGTTTTAATCTCAAATAAGGAAACTTTAAAGTTCCTCTAGCTTAAGGTTCATAAAACTAGGGTTGCAGGAGAGAGTCTTTTTTCTGGATGATGAGTATGCAGACTTTTAGCGACCCTTTCCTGTCATTCTGACCCACCATGATAGTATTCTTTTTCCTTAAGGAAATGAAACAGATCACAGTACTGTGACCATCATGATTAAGATTCCTGACTTTATTACAGGAAATTTGTGTCAGACAAAATGCTTGGTTTGTATAACTTCTGCCAAGTTTCATTTCTATATACAGATCCAGTATAATCTGCATATAGATTATACTGGATCTGCATAAACAGTCATTACCCATTATATCCCTTTTTTCTTCTTCTGCCCTCTTTGGGAGTTATGTGGTACACTGTAGGAAATAATGTGAAATAATTAACATATTCTGTGTCATCATTTTCTTGAGAGGTCCCATAGTCCTTTGTCCCTTTAAATCTATTAGCAGCATTTTAAATAATAAAAAGAGCCCAGCCTGGTTCTTGCTATAATTCTGGTAGGTTTGGATAGCTGTAAAATAATGAGTGCATTAGCAGAAAGAGGAGGCACTCTTTCTTTTATATTGGTAGGTAGACATTTTAGCAAAATAGGTAATTTCTATAATGTTTTTACTGGAGGAAGAATTGTATTTCAGATCCATTTCAGCAATTAGATTTGAAATCCGTATATGAGTGTGTTTCCATTTTGCAGGAGTGATGTTTGAAAATAGTAATTACAGTTACTTTAATAGTAGGTGCAAATTAAATGGAACTGTTATTTCTGTGATACTGAATGTGAAAACTTTTACTTACTGAAATAGTTTGCTGGGTGATCAGCATTAATTTCTAGCTACCTCCAGAAATCTCGTTGTTGCAGTTGTATTCACATTCTTTTTCCTCCCATTGCTTGCTGCTTTAATTTCTAGCATGCTGAGTCATGAGGGATTTTACTAAAAATGTGTTACAGCCTTCTTTTCCTTGTTTAGATTGCTCTTTTTAACTTAGGTGTATCAGCTGTTTTTCCCTAATTCTTTTCAAAATATTGAACTTTGCTGTCTAATTTGGTTTGTGGAGCTTAAATGCCTAGTCATTTATGAACCAAATTCTAGGTATTGCTATTTACCTTTAAGATCCTAAATGGCTTGGAACCCAAATACTGTACTCTACAGTGGTGCCTTGACTTATGACCATAATTTGTTCCAGAAGATGGACATAACTCAAAATGATCGTAAGTCGAAGTACCATTTCCCATTGAAATGCATTGGAACGTGATGAATCCATTCCGGGAATTTTTTTTTTTTAAATAAAGCACACAGCAAGCCCAGTCAGAAGGTGCTGGGGCTTTTAAAAAAACCAAGAATAAACAGCCAACCAAGCTATGTTGCTGGGGCTTTTTAAAAAAGCAAACAAACCAAAAATAAAGCAAACAGCAAGCTCCATCACTGGGGCTTTTACAAAAACCCAAACCAAAAATAAACAGCAAACATGCCCCAAAGGTGCTGGGACTGAAACCCCCCCCAAAAAAAAACAAACCAAAAATAAACAAAGGAACAAGCCTCGTCGCAAAGCGCTGGGGCTGCAAAAAAGAATCACCAAAAAACAAAACAACAACACAGCACAGAAACATACCCCCCCAGCCCAAAACTACGCTACAAAACCCACTCTGAACAGTTTTTAAAAAGCAGAAAATATCACCTTATCTTACCAGGCAGCCTCCTCTGATCACACACAGTCTGACTGCTGGGGCAAAAGAGCTACAAAGAAGCAGCCTCGTCGCCACCTACAGTTAGCATTTTGAATTTCCCGCCTTTTTCCCTTGCCTTTTTCTGTTCGTAACTGGAAGCTCCAGCCACAAGTCGAAGCGAAATTTTGCAGCCGGAGCTGGTTGTAACTCGAAATGGCCGTAAGTAGGGACAGTCATAAGTCGAGGCACCACTGTATTTCAAGGAGCAGCTTCTATTATTCCATCCTGCCTGTGCACTAAGATCTTCAGATGGACCTATCTCCAGATACCACCAATTGTGTATCTGTTTAGGAGGAGATCATCTTCCACTGTCAGTGCCAGTTCAAGACAGACATGTCTGCCCAAGAATTTTAAGTTAGTTTGTGTTTCCCCTGCCATGTTGTTCTATAGTCTTTTTTGTCTTTTTATTGCTATTTAATGTGGTGGTTGTAAGATTTTTATTCTACTTTATTTTTTATTTTGTGCTATCCTAAAAATCTGTCAAGGTGAAGCTATTAAATGAAACAAACATAAATGAATCACCTTACCTTAGATTAATGGTCTTCTATTTTATATTATGGATGCAATAATTGAACAGTTGGTTAACTTTTATCAAAAGTGTTAGACATTTTCCCTATTCTGTATCATATGCAAAATAAAAACCCTGTAAACTACAGCCTTAACGGATTACAATTCAGACTTAGTTGTCTAAGATGCCCTTCATCAGGTTGCTAC